ATGCTTTAGGGCGGGGCTACATGGTGATTGACAGGTCTCTACCACAGTGTTAACCCTTTCACAGTGTGTTTTTAGTTCATGAAAGTAACATTTTGACTCCTAAAAATGTTCAGCGTTGAGTTGTAAAGAGCTCCTTCCTCTCGGGTCCAATCGGACAAATTGCCGAAACTCCCAGTTAAAAGTTTTTTTGAGGAGTTTTATGTTTATCAGAATCGGACAGAGTTCGTCTGCTGGTGTTCAGATTGTGAGGCCCCTTGAGGTGAATTTGTTACAGGCTACTTTAACATGAACATGTCTTGATTAACAGGTTTATTTTCTAACTATAAGATGTCCCACTAAAAAATAAATGTATAACATCATCAAATCATCCAGAAGACTTTCTTGTTTCTATGTTGGAAATCCTTAAAAGAGAGTTAAAACATCTCTACTGTTTTTCTCCAGGACGTTCTCCACAGCTGGACATTGGTGTGAACCAGCAGAGAGCGAGGACATCTGGCTGAGAGCCTGAAGCCACAGTCGAGTCAATGGGACAGACATGAAGAACCTGGACCAGCATGGGCGAAGTCACCAGGAGAGTCTGGGTGAGTCCGGGTAGACGCTGCATTGTAGTCTGAGACGAGGAGCGATCTTCAGTTCTTGGTGTTGCAGTGTTTTTGTGACACAAGTCGGTTGTGTTTGTTCCTCCAGTGTGTGCAGTCCTGTCCAGTCTGGTGTTGGCTCTACTGGGACTGCTGGGCTCGGTCCACGGCTGTCCCGGTGTCTGCACCTGCTACGGCAACACTACTGACTGCTCCGCCGTCGGCCTCCCGTCTCTGACGCCCATCCTGGCCCTGCTGGACCAGGACTCTCTGATCCTCCGCCTGGCCCAGAACAACCTCTCCTCCCTGAGCACCAATGAGCTGTCCAACCTCAGCAGCCTGGAGCTCCTGGATCTGTCCCAGAACCACTTCTCCGCCCTGCAGCCCAGAGCTTTCTCCAGCCTGGGCGGCCTGCGCTGGCTCAATCTCTCCGCTAACTACCTCGGCGTGCGCCCGGTGACCTCCGACCCCATCAACAGCACAGCGGCGCTCCAGAGCGCAAATGGGATTCAAGGGACCGTCGGCCTGAGCAAGGACGTTTTCAGGGGTCTGTGGCGGCTACGAGGCCTCGACTTGTCCTCAAACGGCCTCCTGTGGCTGCCCAAAGGCCTGCTGGATGGGCTTCAGAGACTCGCCTGGTTGTCCGTGGCCAGCAACCGGCTGGCGGCCCTGGACAGAGTCACCTTCGAGCCCCTGGTGGGGCTCCAGGAGCTCCAGCTGGCAGGAAACCCCTGGGAGTGCGACTGCAAGCTGAGAGACTTCAAGCACTGGATGGAGTGGTTGATTTACAGGGGTGAGGGCTTATCCAGATCTCAAATACTCTGAAGTTGATCATGTCGGCGGTCATCTTTAAAACCGCACCGGAGCGAATCCCTTTTTGTATTTTGAGTCTGTAATTCAAAAAGCTGTCTAATCGAAGCAATGAATCTCTGCTCTGCAGGACAGATGCGTGCCGAGCAAAGACATCTAAGAATATAACGACCTCTCCCTCCCTGTTTCCTTTCTTCCTCCTCTCCATCTTCCCCCCCCCCCTCCTCTCTCCGGTCTGTTTTTTTTTGTTACAGATGGGCAGGTGGACGCGATGCGGTGCAGTCTCCCGGGGGATCTGAAGGGCAGAGACATCCGCAGCGTGCCGGCGGAGATGTTCAACTACTGCCTGCAGAGTCCGACCAAAGAGGGCGCGGCGGGTTACGCCACCCGGCATCCGTGCCCGCCGGGCCGCATCAGCAGCAACGACGACTGCGTCCGCCAGCGCTACCGGCCCGCCAGTGTGCGCCGAGCGCACGGCACGCAAATAGTCGCCGGCGTGATTTGCGGCACCGTGTGCGTCATGATGGTGGTGGCGGCGACCTACGGCTGCGTGTACGCCTCGCTGATGGCGCGCTACCAGAGGGAGATGAAGACGCGTGGTCAGCCTCTGATGGCCGAGTCCGGAGCCGACACGGACCTGGAGGACGGGCAGATGTCGTCGCCGACGTCGCCGGAGGAGTCGCCGCCCAAAGAGGGCGTTGTGCACGGGTATCGGATCAGCAGCTTCTGATCTTTCCTGATCCTCAGCTCTCGTCATCGGATGGGACGATGTCTGGAGAAAGAAACCCTGCGGCTCTGTGGTCGAGCTGAAAACCTCTCTGGGCCGATGGACCGGACTAAATCTAAAAAAAGGAACTGGAATGCTGCAGCACTTCTTCTAATGTATGGATGCTCTGTGCATTCCTATTCCCCGCGCTGCATCCCTCAGCCAGTTCGGCTACCTTGACTTCCCATCGTCTGTGTTTGTCGTTTCTTCCTTTAGGAATGTGAAAGTACCTTTTTTTGTTCGAGATGTCCGTCGTCGTATCCGAGCCCAACAAGCTCAAATGTGAATCTGTGAAAGGTGACATTTTCTCCCGTTGTTTGCTGCACACTTCCTCTTTTCCTCTCGATCAGTTGTGTGTATCTTATGTTATCTCTGTAACACGTTGAGAAATAGTTCTGTAGCCCTGTTCAAGTCCCTCTAAACACCATGTTAAAGCCTGTTAGAGTCCTGCTGCTGGCAGGGAAATGCTGCTTTTTTCAGCTTCATCACTGAGGTGAACTGCATCCAAACAACAATTAGAGCTGTACCGCCCCCTAGAGGACGAGCTTTGAGCTGCAGCGACTTCTGATTCCAGCACAAACAAACAGTTTATTCCCAACATAGAGTGTGTGTGAGGCTGTCAGCCCGTATATACTGTACCTTCTGTATTTTTATTTATTTTGTCCGTATTCTCTGTGATAAGCACATGAACTATTGTCTCAAATTCAACTCAAGGACTGTTAATGATGCTGAAGATGATAAACTCTATATTTATCTAAACTGGATTTCTTCCTTTTTTAAAAACACATTTATCAAATCATTTTGTTCTGAGACAAACAACACAAGTCAGGTCTAGAAATCCTCTCTGGCCGGTCGAGCCGAGGAATACTGATGAACTTCAGACTAAAGAAAGCCTGACAGTCAGTTTCTCAGACATTTAAAGCCTCGTTTTTAATCAATTCTTCAGCCGTCACAGAAACATCTCTGTGTCAGCACCGTTATGATGAATGAGAACTATTGACTCCTGAATCTGTGGGTCCATCAGCTGTTCAATAAAAGAAAGAGGTTCTACCGACAGGCTTTAAAACATACACAATGTGAGCTGGTCCCACATCGTAGACAACAGTAGATCTCAATCAAACGCACTGAAGGTCAGTCTAAATGTTCTAGTCAGATAGTCCCGCTTTCCTTGTAAACTGCTAATCTCATTAAAAGGGATTTAAACTTGATTGTTTCTTGTCCAACACAGATTCTCACCGTTTAACCTGAACTCAGGTTTCTGCAGATTCACACAGTTTAAGAAAATGTTCAAAACACAAACATCGAGTTGAATTTAATCCCTGTTTCAAAGTCAAACTGTTGAAAGTATAAAATATGATGGAAAACCAGGTGGGATGACGTGGCCTGGAATTATTAGTATTATTATTAGTAGTAGTAGTAGGATTATTATTATTAGTAGTAGTAGTAGTAGTATTAGTATTATTATTAGTAGTATTAGTAGTAGTATTATTAGTAGTAGTCGTAGTATTTCACACTTGTCTCCTAAAAATGACTTTCACAAACAACTAAACAACTCATTCTCACTCACATTTAGAGGAAACTATTTCCTCCTGAGTTAGTTTTAAACACGTCGGTAACGTTGTAAATTAAAACTAAACAAAATAACAATGCAAAAAAAACGACTTGATTATGTTTAGTAAAAACACAATAGTTGAGTTTAAGTAAGTACGTTACCTACTGTAGTGAAGTTAAATGTTAAATAAGTCAAAGACATAAACAGAGGTCTGCTGGGTGAAAGTCCCGAGTTTGTTTGACTCGTCAATCCACCCGAACTTCCTTCCTGCCTGAACTTCCACACACTTCGATTACAAAGGTTTTATAAAAACATAAACACACATCAACAGCAAACATAATCTGGGAGGAAATAGGTTTCCTCGGTAAGTAAATGACAAAGTAGATTTGTTGTTGGGGAACGTAGTTTTTTCACTGATTGCCAGAAGTTTACACCAATAATTCCTGAGATTATGAATAAATAAATGAATACGATCACAACGCAGATAAACGGCGGAATGAAATTGTTGCTAAAGTTCCTTTAAGTTTTATCTGAATTCAACACTTGTCCACGAGGACATGATGATCCCAACGATCCCATTGTTAGTTCAGAGGTGAAGGTCGTCTTCAGACATTTTATAACCAACATCACGGTCTACAGCGGTAACACAAACTCATTTAAATACGTTAAACCTTCTGTGTCTGAGGAAACTTAAGACTCTGAACGGTCTGTGGTCTTCAATGTTTCGCCCAACAGTTGATATAAAAATATCAAGGAATCAAATGATTAAATCTATGAGCAATGTAGTATATTTATGTGATGTCGTCGCTTTTCCGCCTCATTTTTATTTGTTGATTTTACTGAATTATTTTATTTCACTAAATTATTTTATTTATTTCATTTATTTTGTTTATATATTCCTCAGTTTATTTTTAACATATCGACGGTCTCACTGAGCTTTCTGTTATTGATAGTATGTATTTGATATTACTTTGTAAACTCTGTTTTTAAAAGGTACTATATAAATAAATGAATAATTATTAATAATTATAATAATTATTACTATTCACACAGAAAGACGTCCCACAGATAAATAAATAACATTTAAAACATTCACATTAGTGTGACTCACCTCCGGCCATCGCCGTCTTCCCCTCAGAGGACACAGTTACTGCCGTCGTCCCGATCACGTACTTCACTCCTGTGGAGAGAACGATGTCGGCTGTTAACAGACATTTTCTAACGATAACCATAATAATCTTTATGTTTCTGAGTGAAGGGACCTTTGTCGTTGACGGGGTAGTAGTAGAAGCTGCCGGGAGTGTTTTCCACGGCCAGGCGGTACCACAGAGGGAAGTGATCCACGGTGAACAGGTTGTCTTTATCAGCCGGCGTCAGGAACCTTCTGTCGAGTGGAAGGTCAGACGTCTTATTTTGAAAATCTATAAGAATTAATTTAGCCAGCACTGGAAACTTGTAGTTTTAATCCCTGGATTGTAGAATTATTATTATTGTGTCATCCATAAATAATAATAATGTCCAGATCATCATAAGACCCCGTTATTTAGGAAAAAAAGCAACGTGAAACACAAGTAATACTAAACTAATACATCATCCTGACACATTGTTCCCCCAAAGCTTTAGAAACAAAGGCCGACAAATTATAAGCATTAAAATGAAATATTTCATGAAACAGGGCTCCACAGTAAGGGTTAGCTGGTTATATATAAGTATACATATATATAACCAGCTAATCAGCTCAGAATGAGTGAAAGATGGTTGTCTTTGTTCAACAAGCAGCTTTTTGTCTTCTGCTTCTTCTTCTTCAGTTCTAGTGAAACAGATCTGAAGTCGTCCTCTCTCTGAAACAAACACAGTGACGTGTGGGTGCTGAAGGTTCAGGTCTTACTTTGCCACTCTGGTCTCCACTCCAGCGTATCTCATGATCCTCATGAGACCGGCTCGAGTCCCGAGGAAGACCGTCTCCACGCCCGGCTCCACCCTGCACGCACACACAGCGGCAGATTTCCTTCAAACAATCACCAAATCCACACCGTTCATCACAACTAGAAGCTGTACAAACTGTCATCAAATCGTCAGATTTCATTATTCCGACGGTCCTCAAATACATCACCTGCGATGAACGCTTTAGTCAGAAAAACACAACCAAAATGAAATGTGTGTATTTTCGTGTGAGCTGTCCCTTTAAGGCTCCAGGTGTGACATGTACGAGGTCTCACCTGTCGTTGAGCATCAGGGCGTTCCAGTAGGCCTCCATTGGAGCCGTCACCACGGCGTCAAACAGCGTCTGCTGCAGCAGCACCTCGTCGCCTAGAAAACGGAGAAGTCCGGTCAAAGAGGTGACTTTTAGAAGAAGACGTGTCTGGTGTCGACCTGTCAATCACTGTGTAGCCCCGCCCTAAAGCATC